AGTAAATTCAGTCCATTTTTTGCAGTATTTATCAAATTTGTCCCTATTAAGTGTCCAAATCAAAACAACAGTCACCTCATGGCCCCTACAAGAAAGTGCAATGATATGAGCTTATGAGCTAGCACTCTCCCCCTGCAACTAAGGCATGGGGTATTAAGGGTCATGTGACTCAGCCCTAACTATATGATTTATAAAAATGGAAAGTTTAAACCTAATCTTAAATGCAGAGAAAGTGTCCGTCTCACTAATCCAAACTTGGAGCTGAAGAGGGGCCTAAAGGCTGAAGGTGCTACCTCATCCTACTTTTAAATATCCTCGGAGGCACTGAGTGAAGTACTTGTTTGGAGTAACATGGTACTTTCAGGTCTTTACAATAAGATGGACCACGATTAGCCAAGATCTTATATGCATGGAGATCATTTTCCTATGTGGAAAACATCAGCATCACATTACATCATTCTTGCATGGACGGACTATGAAGCGATCAGTTGCCACAGTATTCCCAGAGCATTCCCATGGGTATGTAATCTACTCGAAGTGGTGATGTGATGAAGTATCTTTTGTCTCCATGATGAACCAAATAATGCTACAAATCTACCTTCACTTTCACATTTTTATACAATGCTTACTGCAGTTAGGCTCTTGAAGGCACTAAACACCGTTTTAAATATACCAGGTTCATAAACACCCCCCACACGTTCCTTAGTGACCTCCTCACCTGTCATAACATTTTCCATGAAGCAGAGACTTGGCGTAGTTGTCTAAGTTCCCCTCTGGGTCATCTCCCCTCATGCCTTGCTCCTCGTCATCCAAGGTTACAAAGAAGGCCGCCCTCTCAATGGTATCCAGCGATCTCTTGTTGACCCCGGAGCTGAAGTACTGCTTCCTCATCTGAGCCCAAGGGATTCTGGGAGGAGATGACATGGATATATTATAAATCATTGTTTTGCTCACGGGTCTGTACTCACAGTCAGCAAGTCTTTTTGCACAATTGTCCTAAAACAAAGTACTAAAAGAGCCTCGGAAGTGGAGAAAGTTCACAGAAGGCTCAACTCAGCGGAAACTGCAGATGCTCCATAACAATTATGAGAAAACGTACTTCACTAAACGCTGCATCCTTCTCAAGTACTTAGTCCACTCTAAGATAACTTAAGACAATCTGAAAACTCACAAAACATCAAACTATTGTTTCCATCAAGCAGACTGAAGCTTCCAACAAAGTTTCACACAGTCAAAGACATCAGCATGTGATGCAAATGTCAAAATCAGATGACAGTTCTTGGACAAAAGCCCAGTGATGTTTTCTAAAATCTCGTACTGTGTCCGATTTGCTGGTCGGCTCACTACTTTAGTAATACACACAGCTTGATGGACGGGCCATTAATGCAAAGGCTCATCGGACTGTTCCTGCTAAGCACGTTGGTGGCACTTTTCACACTTTGTTTGCTTTAAGCCATGCATAATGTGTAGGCAGCACAATATCCAGACTGTAGTTCTGATGTCATTTCCATCTTTTTGTTAATTATGCACAATACTGATCATACCAGAAAACAAACCAGCACGAGACTAGTAACAGGATGAGAGCGCCTGCTAAAGGCACCCAGTCTAAAACAGATTTAACATACACAACAATATTTAGCTTTAATCACAACAGGGAATCCTGAAGAGAGCGAAACGCGCATATATGCCAAATCTTAATGGCCTTTGGAGAAAAGTGCAATTGAAAGTTAAATCATGTGAGCTGAAAATCAGTATGCATAGATTTCTATGAGTGAGTGAGGGCATTAACAACACACATGTGGGTGTTTCGTGTGTTTTTTTCCACACGTCAAAGGCAAACAGTTCACCAGCACACTTATTTCTCAGGTGAAATTGTAGCTCAGGTGGCAGAGCAGGTCAGCCACTAATCAGAAGGTCGGTGGTTCGAGGCTGCCTCCTGGCTGCATGCCAAATATCCTTGGGCAAGATACTAACCCCATGTTTGCCTACTGGTGGTCAGAGGGCCCGGTGGCGCCAGTGTCCAGCAGCCTCGCCTCTGTCAGCTACAATGTAGCTTACCATTGCCAGTGTGTGAATGTGTGTGTGTGAATGACTGAATGTAGTGTAAAGCGCTTTGGGGTCCTTAGCGACGGAGTAAAAGCGCTATACAAATGCAGGCCATTTACCATTACCATGTCTTGTAGGATCCTGCTAACGTTGCTGATACACGTTAGCTTTTGCACTCTCTCTTTCTTTCTTGGTTTTGTTTTTGTTATGCTTCTACATCTTAGGAAAAAAATCTAGACATGTGTGTACAACAGACATTACAAATACTAACATGCATAAACTTGAAGAGCTGATCCCTACATTGTTTTTCTTCATCAGTTCTTCTAGCCAAAGTTAATTTACACTTACTGTTCACATGATTCATTTCCACTGTTTTGCTTTCAATCATTTCAGTGAAGCCAACCCAAACTTTTTAGGTTTTGAGGAATTAAGAGAGCAGAGTTAGAAACCTTCACACTCAACTAAAGATGCCCACAGCCAGGAAAACGAGCAGGTGGCTGAACATCCCACTTCTTTGCTTTAATAAACTCCTGGCTTGCTTTGGCTGTATGCTTTGGCTCACTGTCCATCTGTATGATGAAACACCATCTAATCAATTTGACTGCTTTTAACTGGATTTGAGCAGAGAGTCTCCGAACACCTCAAAATTCACGAGTGCCAGTGGCAGCCATGCAAACCCAAACCATCACACAGTTTTATAGATGATGTGGTGTGCTTTGGATTTTTCCAATCTATTCTTGAGGCTTCACTTTCATGCAGTCTTCTCTTTATGGTGGACTCGGACATCGATACGCGTACCTCCGGGAAAGGGTTGTTCACTTGGTTGGCTTTTGTGAAGCGGTTTCTCATAACCATGGAAATGACTCGTGGATCAACCATTGTTGTCCTCCGTGGGCGTCCGGGTCTTTTTGCGTTGCTGAATTTACCCGTGCTTTTTTCCCCTCTCAGGAAGTACCAAACTGTAGATTTTGCCACTTCTAATATTATAGCAAATTCTTGCATAGTTTTTTCTGTTTTAGCAGCTTAAGGATGTTTCCTGTGCATGGAGAGCTCTTTTGACCGCATGTTGTTAGCTCACAGGATGTTGCTTGCATTTGGAAGATCTAACTTTAAATGAAATCCAAGCCTTTTATCTGCTTAATCGATAATGACATAATGAACTTTCATATGAAACAGCCTTAGAGTCAATTGTCACATGTGGG